AAAACATAAAATTATCCAGCATGGAGAGTATCTCTGATCCATCCCATGCAGCTGTACAAGTATTCAGATAATCCTAAAAACAGAGAACAAGAGAATGGTTTGTGTTGGAATGGTCCTTAATGATTCTCTGGTTCAGCCTCCTCTGCCGTGGGCAGGGACATCTTCCAGCAGGGCAGGTTGCTCAGAGCCCCACCCAGCCTGACCTTGAATATTGCATTCAAGAAACACAACTTCATAAATGGATGTTTCCCCAAGGTGCTGGTTTTCTCTGTGGCCAACATGGAGCCAAACTTTTGGTATATGTTGATGGTGGAACTAAAGGCTGTGAATGCAGCGTGAGGAGAGTGAGAGCTCAGTTCTGTGCCAGGAAAATCAATGACTCAGTGTGGGTTTGGTTGGGAAATGATTTGATTTCATGCTTGGTGCCAAAGGCAGTGCCATTGCTGTTCTGCTCCTGGTTTCTCTGTCATGAAAGACAATGACAGTCCTCCAACAATAACACTTTCCATGCTAACTGTTCCTGTGGAACTTCAATTCTTGGCTAGAACTGCCAATGAATCCTCTGTGAAACCTCCTTTATTTGTCTGTAACTCTATGCCATAATTTGATGCAGAGTTTCCTCAGAGTTGTAATTTCCCTTTCTTTCAAGCCTTTGTTTCTAGGAAGGTTGCAGCTCATTTTCACAATTCTGGTCAGTACTTTTAAATATCAAACAGTGACTGATGTATTTCAGCACATCCTTACTTCAGCCACTTAAGACTGAACGGTGTGTCGGGAATAGGAGGCAGAAGGAATAAGAGAATCTGTTGTAATTTGTCAGCAGATTTACCTTGAGAAAGAGGCTGATGAGAAGCTGTTTGAAATGATGGTTTCCTAACTGTGCAAGGTGAGCAGGCCATGCAGTAGAAAACGTTACTGAGCTGAGGACAGATTCTTCAAATGAACCCCCCTATCCTGCTGTTCTGTGTGAGTCTTTAGAGTCAAAGTTGCAATTTGAGACCTGAGTGACTTCCAGGTGCCCTCAGGGATGAGTTTTAGGGCCTGCTAGGAAAGTCTAGAAGACTTCACTGTGGGCATCTTTGGCTACTTGTTCTCTTCTATCGCTTCCTTACCTTATCTGATTAATATTTTGGGGTTTTCTGTGTTTCTTTTTTTTTTTTTTTTTTTTTTTTTTTTTTTTTTTTTTTTTTTTTTTTTTTTTTTTTTTTTTTTTTTTTGTGATGGTTTTTTTTTATTTATCAAAAAGNTTTTTTTTTTTTTTTTTTCCATTTTGTTTTTCTTTGATTTATTCAGTGTGATGGTATATTTTGATTTATCAAAAAGCTATCTTTTATGAGCAATATATGGTGTGAATAGTGTCCCATGCTCTTGTCCCAGTAGAAGTCATGAGATATGAGATAGAATTTGTGTTCTGTTCTTATTGGAAGAAATGGATGTAAATATGACTTTAGTAGATGTTGCATCTCTGTGGAACACAGAATGTGATAAGGACGAAGAGGAGATTCTCTTGAGGCCAATGGTTTGATGAGCCATTCTCCATTGGTGACTGCTGATCTTTTAGTGTGGTTGTTTATCATTCCTGTGCTCTAGAATCGTTCAGTTCCTGATCATAATGGTGGTGAGCAGACAATTGTACCTCCCTTGTGGGTGTGGCTGAAGTGCATTATCATCTCCTGATCGATTTGACTCATGAGGAGATGGGCACAAGCAAAACCTTCCAGTGGCATGGTGTGGAAGAAAAAGCAGACAGGGGAGCTCAGTGTGTGAGGCTGGAGAAGACCTCGGTCATTCCCTTGCTTGTCACAGGTCATAGCTAACACCAGCCTGTGCCTGATGGAGTGCTGTGAGATTTGAGTTGCTTCTGTAGAGCAAGGGAGTCCTACAAAATGTTCTTGCATCTGTACATTTCCATATGTTTGTAACTCTTGCAGTGTTTGTTGTCATGAGCTTGTGCTCAGCGTGTCTGACCTTATGTGGAAGGTCTCCTCTGTCCCAGCTGCCCGAGTGCAGCTGCAGTTCCCACACACACCTGTGATTTTTCCAGCTGTGCAGAGGAAGGGTTTCATGAGCACTCCTGCTGTGCTCACCCAGGAACACTTTGTCTGTGTTGTAAAATGCAGAAGCATGTCGGCTGCAGCTGTCAAAGTGCAGAGCAGCCACCCAGCCCAGCCAAGACTTCTACGAGCATACCAGGGGCCAGTGGGAGAACGTGTGCAGTGTCCCCCAGGCCATCACCAGAGGAACATGCTGGGCAATCACCTGGAGGCTGTGAAAGGGCTGAGGAACAGGCTGGAGAGTCACCTCCAAAGAGTCACAGACAGTGGCTCAATGTCCCGGTGGAAAGCAGTGACTTGTGCTGTCCCTGAAGGGTCCTGACTGGGCCCAGTTCTGTTCATGCCTTCATGGGCAGTGCATTGAGTGCACCTTCAGCCCATGTGCAGCTGGCACCAATTGGAGCTGATTCTGGGAGGGCAGAGCTGCCAATGAGGGATAGGCTGGAGAAGAGGCCCCTTGCAACCATCATGAAGTGGAACAAAGTGCAAGGTCCTGCAGCTGTGGTGGGGAAATCCCCAGTTTAAAGAGAGGGTCAGGGATATGGAAGAGCTTTGCAGAGAAGCACTTTGGGTCATTGGTGGGTGATAAGAGGGGATGTGAGCTGCCAATGGGCACCTGCTGCTCAAATGGTATCCTGCACTGCATCAAAGCTCTCTGCCCAACACGTCAAGGGAGAACCTTCCCCTCCTCTAAATTCTTTTTGTGACAGCGTTGACTGCATTCAGATCTTGGGCTGATATCCCACATGGACACTTTAGATTCCCCAGAAGGATCATGGAAATAGCTTGACTGTTGGAACATCTCTTCAACGGAGCAGGACTGAATAGTTGAGGCCTTCAAGCATAAGAAATGATAACTCTTTGTAGAATTTTGAAAACATTTCTCTCTATATACAAATAAACTCCTAGAAAATATGTGGTGAGCTTTTATTTTGAGGGCCAGTGGTCATAGAACAGCAGTCTAATACTTTGCAGTTAATGAAGGGAGGCTTGGATTAGGAGAAATTGTTTCAGTGTGGGTAGTGTGAAAATGGAAGATATTGCCCAGAGAATTTTTGGATATGCCTCCAGTGTTGAAGTCTAGCAGAAAGTGTTCCTGCTCATGGCAAAGGTAGGGATTAAATTCCCATTAATAAAAGTTTAAATTGGAAACTGAGGAGATGGTTTTTCTCTATTAAGCCTCAACGTTGCTTTGCTTTTTCCATTTACAGTTGCTCAGATATGGAGATGCAGATGAAGCAACTTTGATGAGTCAGAAACAAAAGAGTAAATGTGATTCTGCTATCTTGGCATAGGGGTTGCTTACGTTAATATAGGCTCATAGAAATTTCAGATCAATTAATCCCAGATAAGGAAAGGATAGTCCAAGACATGTGATAAATTGTGAAAAAGTTCTGGAAGTGTTTCTTATATAATCATTTATTGCTGGTGTAAATGGGCTGTGATTTTATTAAGAGGAGCTCAATTCCATTCTTTACTGCCCTGCCATGAATATTTGCTTCTGACAGTTGAAAATTACTCAAAAGAATGCCCTAAAATCACCCGAGATCACATCTGAGATAGAAAGGCCTTGGTGTCGAATTAAGGAAGAGCTTCAGCGCTGTCTGTCGGCGGTGGCGGCGGGAGCCCGGGCCCGGTGCCGCCGCCGAGCCCCGCCCAAGCCGGGCCCCCTTGAGCGCGGCCGTCCGGCGGCTGCAGTGGCGCGGCGGCGCCTCCGGGTGCCGCTGTTGGCCGCCGCCGAGCGGCGCTGGAGCCGCCGCCGCCGCCGCCGCAGCGTCCTGCCCCCGCAGGCTGCTCGCTCGCCCGGCGCCGGCCGCAGCGGCAGC